AGGGCCCGGGCCGGCCTCGCGTGGTTTCCGCGTTCAGGGCCCGGGCCTTCCTAAACCGTGTCTCTCTTCCCTCTCTGTGCAGAAACGCGAGCAGACCGCAGCAAGAAACTTTTCCGGCACTACACGGTGGGCTCCTATGACAGCTTTGATGCGTCCAGGTAAGATGTGGGTCTTCTCTGCCAGGCCCCTCCGGTCGCAGACGCTTGTCTGTGCCACCAAAGCCCTGGACCATCTTGCTCGGAGCACTCAGGCCCCTTGGCTTACTTCCCCCGTGCGCCCCCCGTCACCCCTGAGCACGAGCTGGGATCATGGAAGCCACGTCTTCCAGAGGACCTGCCTGAGAGGTGGTCTCTGTGCCGCCTGCGGTTTGGGGTCAGGCTGGAGCTCACTTGTGGGGTGGCCAAGGGAGAGAGCTGCCCTTTGGGGAGGAGAAGGAAAGCCTGGCATGTTTGGGGGGAAGGAGTACAAGTGGTGAAGATGACGGCGCTTGGCCACGGGAGCCTCGAGGCAGCAGCGCCTCCCCCGGGGGATATTAGGACGCCTCGGGCTTCTGCCCTGTTTGCGTTTCCCAGACCCATTCCTGCCCTGGGGCCGGAGGTTTCGTACAAGGAAGGCCCATCCCCGTGACGCCAAGCAGGCGGTGCTTTGAAGAGTGGCGGCTTTGCCTTCTGGCTCTTTCCGGAGGGGCTTGTTTGGTTTGTGCAGAGGGCCTCGTGCCCTCGGTGATGCGGCGTGGGGCGCGGGTCCGAATTTTCCTGCAGAAGCCACACTCGTGCGACACAGGGAGGCGTCCTCGGGTCTCCTGCACCTCCATGTTTTAACGCAGGGGGAGGCGGAGGCAGGCCAGGTCCTGCTGGGGAAGGGGCGGCGCCCCATTTCAGACAGAGTGTTCTTCCTGGGCAGGGAGCTCACTGGGGGTCGGCCTGGGGGTGCAGAGGAGGAAGGGACACGCTGGCTGCCTGCCCACCCCAGGCTGGGCGGCCATCTGTGGGGCCCATTCTGAGAATCTCACCCACCCCTCTCCCCCTGAGAAGTTCTGTGCTGGGGAGGGATCTGGACATGCTGCCCTGGCTTCTCCCCAGACTCCCAGTGGGGTCTTAACTCTCCTCTGCCTGCCAAGGGGTCGAATGTGGTCTCCTGTGTTTGTTTTGCTGAGTTAAAATTTACATAACCTAAAATTACCGTCTTGAAGTGCACAGTTCAGTGGCACTCAGCACTTTCACGATGTTGTGTGACAGTCACCTTTCTCTAGTTCCAGGGCACCTCCATCCACCCCCCCCCACCCATGAAGCAGTCCTTCCCCAGCCCCTGCAGCCGCCAGCCTGTCTATGAACGTGCCCGTTGCAGACATTTCCTAGACCTGGAGTCCCACCACACGTGGTTCTCTGCGAACGGCGTCTTTACTTGGAATAACATTTCCAAGGTTCGTCCGTGCCGTAGCATGTATCAGTGCCTCATTCATTTCTTCCCGCTGACTTTTTTATTGTGGTAAAGCATGAATAACACAACCTTTGCTCTCATAACCATCTGCAGTGTACGGTCAAGGGCATTAAGTACACGCGTATTTTTGTGCAACCATCACACCATCCATCCCCAGAACTCTCTGTTTTCCCAAACTGAAACTCTGTCCCCAGGAAGCACTCGCTCCCCCTCCCCCTTCCCAGCCCCTGGCGCCCACCATCCGACATTCTGTCTCTAGGAACATGACGTCTCTAGGGACCTCCTGTACGTGCAATCGTCTGGTATTGATCCTTTTGTGACTGGCTTCTTTCACTGAGCATCACGTCCTCAAGGCTCACCCACATGGCAGCCTGTGTCAGAATGTTCTTCCTTTTTGGAGGCTGAATAAATCTCCCATTGAACGGATGGACCGCGTTTTGTGCGCCCAGCCGTCTGTCGCTGATTGCTCGGACGCTGATTGCTCGGACGCTGTGTCCCTTTCACCTGCGGCTGCTGTAAACGTGCTGCTGTGGCCAAGCATGTGCTGGTAGTTTTGGGAACACGTTTCCAACCCTTCCGGGTGCACGCCTGGGTGTGGAACTGCTGGTGACCTGTTTCAGTGTAGACCTGTCCCATCCACCTTTCTGTCATAAACAAGATATGCTGTAACAGGAGGAGGGGAGTCGCGGTCCTCTTTTGCAGGCCCTCCAGTTCTTGCTAAATTCGCCCATTTTCTGACCTTAGAAGCCCATGTTGTGGTCCGTGGCCTGGCCACCGGCACAGCCCCGAGAGTGTGCTCAGAGGCTGATGGCTCCCGGGGAGCCATGCGTGACCCTGGCTTCTGCTGTTGAGCCTTTATTTGGGTCAGATGAGTCATTTCTGCCTTAGCAGGAGGCTGCCTGTCAAAGTGGACCCTGGGCACACGGTCACGGTCAGCGCCCTGTCATACTTGCTTCCGTTCTGGCTGGGGTGGTGGGGGGAGCCTGAGGCTCAGAGAGAGCCTGAGAGCTGTTGCCATGGTGACTTGCAGGGCTGTCCAGGCTGGGAGGGGGGCTTTAGGTGCAGGGGGCCTCTGAAACCTGGAAGGGTCCAGGCGGTGGCTCACCCACAGGCCGTGGCTTTTGCAAAGCCGTCTCCACACGAGATCTGCTGTCAGCAGAGAGCAGCCAGCAGGCCACCCCCAGCATTTGTGTGTCTGAGGATGGGTGTGCTCACACGCTGATTCCTTAAAATGGGCGGCTATGTGTTCGGGGCTGCTTCCCCACAGAGGAGCCATTGAGAAACCTGGCTTGATTGAGCTGGAAAGAGAGGACCCCAGGGCCAGGCTGCCTGGACCACGTGTCACGTGGTTGAGAGCAGGACCAGAGCACACCAGGATGCCCACTGTGGCTCGGCCGACCGAGGGCATGGGAAGCCGTCGTGGCTGTTCAGCAGTAGAATGGAGCTGTCTCCAGAGGTGGTGAGCACCCCGTCATCGGAGGAAGTCAAGCAGGGTGGGCATTGTCCCACCAGAATGCCGTGGAAGGTTGGACTGGTGACCTCCAAGACCCCACCAGATCTGTTTCCGGCTTGGTCCCAGACGAAGCCTTGTGTTCTCCTTGGGTACTTACCACCTGGCCAGTGGCAGGACCCAGGACCACGGAAGAGGGGGACATTTGGCCACACCTGGGTCAGCTGGTAGATTCTAAACAAATGGTAAAAGCTCTGGCCTCGACCGCACTCAGGAGCCAGCCCCACTTTCCCACGTGAGGGAATCCACAAGCCGTGGGCCTCACGTGATGAGGTGCTGCCGTGAAACAGACCAGAGCCGTGACCACGCTGCTCGTTCACCTCCTGCCGCTGCTGACCGCCAGCCCCCCGCAACCTGGAAAACGGGTGTCATTTCCCGCATACAGGAGGACACACAGAGGAGGGAGGAGGGCCAAGTTAAGGACTTGGCCTTGACCAGCCAGTGTCTGAGGCCATCGGAATACAGAGCCTGTGCCCTCCGCCCTGTCTTCCAAGGTGGAGATGTTACTGCCCGAGGCTGGCCGAGGCACTCGCCTGGGACTGAGGAAAGCTGGTGAGGATGAGAGCCCAGATACGCCGTCGAGACGGTGCCGTCACCCCACAAAGCACGTCAGGAGGATGGACCCATGACGTTACCCCGGTTAGCGCAGGACCTCCGAGCCTACAGGGGAGCAGGGGTCAGCCTGCGGGGAGCTGTCTTACCCAGCCTGCGAGCTTGCAGAGACAACGGGGGTGGCCAGGGAGGGGGCCTGTGGCCCCCCATGCCGTCCTCACCCAGGCGGCTGGTGGGCGAGGCTCTGGGCGGGTGCCGCAGTGAGAGGCTGACCTCTGGCTCCTCTGGGCGAGCAGCGGGAAGTGTCCAAGGGGCTTGCGTGCCCTCTGCGGGCGCACGCCAGCCGGCTGCTCGTTAGTCCGCTTCAGAGTTCACGTGAGACGTGGCCTAGTGGGACGCAGAGCCCTGGGGGCTGCGCCAAGCCCCTGGGCCCATGGCCTGCGGTGGCGGTGGGGTGGCAGACGTTCTGGGCAGGAGGCTCGTGGCTGAGGTGGCACCGCTGCCGGGGCAGGTGTAATGAAAGAAGGTGCGATGGGAGGCGAGACTCAGCGGAGACAGTGTCTGAATCAGGCAGGAGGTGTCTCCCCTCAATGCAAAACCTTCGCTCAGAGAACTCGGCTGAAGAGCGGGAGGGTGGAAACACGCCGTCCCTTGATGAGTATGTCTGGTTGCTCCAGCCAGTTCCCTCCTCAGATCTCAGATTCCCTTCCCCCTACCCAGCCCGCATGTGAGAGAAGCACCTAGAAATGTGGATGCGTGGCCAAGGTCAGGAGGCAGGGAGCCTGGGGCCACTCCTACACAGATGGTTCAGTGCCGTTTTTAAAAACACTTCTCAACACAGGGGATGGGATCTCAGGTTCTCACTGCCCTTAACTCAGACTCCCAGCCTCAGAACCACGGGGTCCAGTGGGAGTCTGTCTGGGAGAGGCAGGGTCTCACCCTCGGCTGACCAGACGCCATCCGTCTATTCACCCAGCCTGCCAGCCAGCCAGCCACATCCATCCATCCAACTACCTGTCCACTCAGCCAACCAGCCAGCCAGCCAGCCAGCTATCTTCCCAGCCGTCCACCTACTCAGCCATCCACCTGTCCATCCATCTATCCATCCACCCCTTCACCCACTCATCCAGCCATCCATCCACCCGCCTGTGCACTCATCTCTCCATCCATTCATCGCCTCCACTCATCTGTTTATCCATCTATGTAACCAGTATCCACCAAAACCTAACTATTCAGGAAGCTAAGGATACAGAGGCAAACAGGACAAGCCCGGTCTCTGACCTCATGTAGACTTGAAGTCTAACTCGTGAAGATAACAGCAGGGTTGACAAATAAGCCAGAACAGCCCCTCCTCGCGGTTTTGCTCTGAGATGAGCCAGCAGAGCCGCCAGGCAGGCCCCTGGGTGGGTGAGGGAGCCGGGGAAGGGCTCTCTGGGGAGGTGGCTTTTGAGCTGAAACCTGAAGGCTGACGAGGACCCAGCAAGTGTGAGAGCACTGGGGTGGAGAGAGCCTTCCATCCCGGGAGAGCAGAGAGCCCAGCGTCAGAGAAGACGTGGGGCTTCGTGGGGGGACTCTGGTTTTTCACACCCGGAGTCGGGGAGACTGGTGGGCTTTAAGCAGAAGAGTGACAGGATCTGGTTCACTTTGCTGCAGGGA